TGGCGGGCCTAAGGCCACAGTCTCCGTCCGTCCTCCGAGTGAGGCCTCTGTCTCCGGGGGGGGGGGGGACCGGTGACCAATGTTCCCTCTCAGCTGTGGAGTCTTGTGAGCAGAAATTCTACTTTGTGAGCCACTGGCATTAAAAGTGGTGAGCGAGCGATTGGGCTGCTGCATAAATCAGTTTGCTCTGAAGCCCTCCTTCCTGAGCCAAGATAAAAATGTGTGAGCCGGAGGCTAAAAAACTGTGAGCTGGCTCACACAAACTCAGCTTAGAGGGAACACTGGTCTCCGTCCGGCCTCCGTCCGGCCTCTGTCTCCGGGGGGAGGGACCGGTGACCCCTCTTACCTGGAGGCCAGCTGGGTATCAGACTGGGGCTCCTCCCGCCTGCTGCCGGGCAACCCCTGGAAGGCCCACGCTGCGATTTCCCTGTGTGTGTGTGTGTGTCTCTCTCTCAAGCCCTTTCGCCGCCGCCTCCAGCCCAGGGGCCTGCGTTCTCTCTGCCCGGCACTTTGCTTTCCCCGTCCTGGAACTGGGAGAGAAGTCAGGAGCTGTGTTTTCCTGTTTCAGCAACAGTAGAGCGCTGCTTGCACTGAAAGGTGCCGGATGGATGCCAGGGGAAGCCTCGATCCGGGGCTGTTCCGACTGGGTAGCAGAGTGTCTTCACTGGTTTTCTCACTGCTCGGCTGGCTGCCTTTTCATGGAAGTGCCAGGCAGTGTGTGTGACATAACCCAGATCTGTGGCGCCTGGCCCTGGGAAATTAGCACTGATGTGCTACTTTTGGTCTGAGCCCCAGGCTGCATAACAGCATCCCACTTGGATGCATGCTTGGTTTTGCCTCCCACCCACCTACCTCTATTTGATGTGTACAATGTTCTTGTGTCGTCAGCTTTTTCTTCCAAGTACTGTGTGTGACGACTTTGTTTCATAAAGTGTTACCCGTTCATGTTCTCTCTGTCTGGCCTTTGGTTTATTTCAGCTCTGTAGGCAGGTTTCCAGAACCTTAGTGAGTAAGGTGGTAGGTACTCTGCTCATGTTTGTTGTGAGAAGCTGCAGAGAAAGTATATGTGTATAAAGTTATGGGATCCATCCCAATATAAGGGAAACCCCATTCATGTCCCCTGAATCCTCATACTGGAAAGGGCTCCTTTTCTGTGTTTGAAATTAGGCTAGCCATAATTCAGTTTTATCTTCTAGCCCAAATATTGAACTAGATGCAGGTGTGGACTTGTACTATTTAGCACATTAAGTGGGCCAGGATTGTCTGCAGCCTTAAGACGGAGCTGCTCCACTAGCCGTTGCTACTGTGTCTTTTTTGTTTGCTTCTACAGGTCTGAGGACTCAAGTCTTACGGAGCCAACAGGGATAGTATTGTGTTGAAAAGTTTATATTCCCCTACTGACTATGAGCTGGCCCTGCTGTCTGGGATGCAAGCATTGAGGTTTCACAGCTGCAAGCAAGGAAGATGCTCCAGACCAATAGCTATAGCCTGGTGCTCACCTTGCAGTTCTTACTGCTGCTCTATGACCTCTTTGTCAACTCCTTCTCGGAACTGCTACGCATGGCCCCTGTCATCCAGCTTGTGCTGTTCATGTGAGTATGGCAGAATAAGATATGTTTGTGGTTATCTATTTATTGTTTGAATCTGTGTACAAGGTTTGGACAGTACCAGTTGGGGTTGCATAATGAATCATGGGTGCAAGTTGGGGGTGCTATTAGGTGTGGGGGTTTTTAGATAGATGCCCACATCTAGTAACTACATATTAGTCTGTGGTACAAAGTGCCTTCAGTTGGTTCATCAGCTGAGGCCCTTTACAGAAAATGTGACTTGCAGTGCAATATTTAGTAAAGTTACACCCATCAAAGTCTGTAGTCTCATCCAGATTAGATTGCTGAAATGTGGTCTAGGTGTGGCTGCCTATGAAGACAGTTCAAAACTACAATTGCAGCAACCTAAGTAGGAGGGAACATGTTTTGCCAAAGAGCTCCATTGGCTACCAGTTCAATTTAAGACACACTTCAAAATGTTGGCTCTTTTACAAGCAAGGTAACTCAGATAAACATTAGTAACTGTATTTCTTCACACTTTTTTTCATTTGACACAAGAAACAACTTGATAAAGTTTAGGCCTCTTGTCTCATAAATTATGAAGTACTGAAATTATACCACTTGGGAATTTCTTGAAGGAACAGATAGATTATTACAAATTCCTAAAACACGGTGTAGTATCAAGAATAGCAGAGACCCAGATTTTTTATGGCTCTGGAATATATGTGAAGAATTGCCTGTTTCCATATGGGCCTGCTCAGTTATGGAGATCTTTACATTCACTTTCAGATATGAAGTGGATGGTTACACAGAGCAGTTTCTGTTTGGACTCCTTGTCTATGGAATTCTCTCCCCACACCCATCCACCTGGTGCCTACAGAGCTGCACTTAAGGCACCGCTGAAATTGTTTTTATTTACTCAGTCTTTTATTGGGACTTTTTTTGCCTCTTCCTGGTATTACCTAAGGTCTGATGTGTTGATGGGTAGACTGCAAAGCTAGGAGTGTGGAGGAGAAACAAGGTGAGGTGGGAGAGTGATGGCAAAGGTGGGTTTGCCTCCATATAATGTGTGAAATGGATGTGAATGCAGACTGTTGCTCATTAATGCTACCTATATGCTAATAGCCAAGGCGCACCCTGCGTGCAGATATCTAAATCCGCCCATCAGTGGCACCTAGGGGGCAAAGAGATTTTCCTGCACATTTGGGGCAATTCCCAGATGTGCAGAAAAATCTGAAATCTATAAAAAACTATAGGGGGATATTTAAATCCCCCCCAAAAGTAAAAGAGCGTTCCCTGCGCATGCGCAGAGAATGCTCTGAGAACTGTCTCGCTGCTGCAGCCGCCACTGGGGGGGGAGAAGGCTTGGCAGGCCCAACGGCTGAGAGCCACGTGGGCCTCGCCATTCAGGGGAGAAGACTCACCTGCGGCTGCTTCTCCCGTGGAGCGTCTCCCCCCCGCAAGTATCGTGGGTCCCCCTTCTTGTGGATTTATAAATAGAAAACATGAACAATAGAATACAAGCTTCTTCAGTGGTAACTGTTGTGACATTTCCTGTATTTCATGCTGGGGGTGCCAGAAAAGTATAATAAATTTAGAAGTGGGTTCCACTTCAAAAAGTCTGAAGACTGATGGTAAACAGTTTAGTTTTTAAAGTGTTTTGTTTTAGTAGTTTTTTAAAATTTCTGTTGATATTGGATTTTTTTCAATTGTTTGTAAGCTGCCATGAGAACCTTGTGGTCTAGTAGGCACAATAGAAAGTGTTTTAAACCCTAAATATAAAGCACTAAATGCCTCAAAGGTGTTGAGAGCAAAAACCCCATCGCTAAAAGTCAGGGAGTAATTGAGGGGCCAAAGTCACAGTTTGTCTTCAGGTCCTTGGGTAATGCTACAGACTAATATTTGAATAAGTGAGTTGGAATAAAGACCTTTACAACATGGTCCTGAGTGTGATTACTCAGAAATAAGTCCCAGGGAATCCTATTTGATTTACTTCCTCATAAATGTGCTTTAGGATCATAGCCTTAGTTCCAGTTCCCTTGGGGTCTCCCACACCTATGCAAAACGAAAAAAGAGGGAGCCCGTAATCTGGTCCATACATTAACCACATTAAGGTAGCTTAGGATGGCTTTTATTCCAGTGGTGTGGTTCTGGCACAGCCTTGGGTTTTTATGTGTGGTTGTCAGAGGAATGTGTACAACAGCAATTTCTGTAGTTATTTTTGATGTATTTATTGTTCTCCAACTAATTGTTAACCGCTGTCCAAGGGTGTGAAAAGGCATTCATCAGTGTCTTGATTAAAATGCCTTTCTTCCCACAGCATTCAGGATATTGCCATCCTCTTCAACGTTATCATCATCTTCCTCATGTTCTTCAATACCTTCGTCTTCCAGGCTGGCTTGATTAATCTTCTGTTCCACAAATTTAAAGGAACTATTGTCCTCTCAGCAGCATACCTTGCTTTGAGCATATTCTTCCACATCTGGGTTATGGTAAGGCAGGATAGCATTCCGGTAATGTTTGGCTCATAAATAAAGTTGTTTATATTAATTATCAATGGAGCCTGAATTCTGAACATAGGTAACTGGGAAAGCAAATAAAATATGTGCAAGCATGCTTTATTTACTTACTTTCCTGCTTCCTCGGACTTAGTACTTTGTGGGTTTTATTAATGTGGAAATCTGAGGGGGGGATACAAAGCAAAAAACCAGTATTGTGCAAGAGTATTTATTAGGCTGCTCTTCCCTGCAAGCAGGGCTCTGGGTGGCTTACAAACTCAAAAGACCTGTCTCACTATGGGCAGTGTCTGCAAGACTCATCTCCAGCGCCAGTTTCCCTAGGTATGATATTTTCTTAAACAACGTGATAGCCCCGGGTTTCTGCACCTACTGCCAGCTTCAATGTGATGTGTAGGAATGTTTCCTGTTGGACGGATGGGAGAGCCCCCAGAAATGCAGAGTCAGTGTTCACATTGATCCTGTTAGTTATTCTCTTGGCACATCAGCAAGGACCAACCGAAGTAGTAACAAAAAAACTATGCAGGAGTTTGCGCTAATAAATTTGAAATATTAATCAAAAAGATTTCATACAAAAGAGTGTACAATATTTGCATAACATATCAAATGCAAGTGAAGTCGGTGATCTCCAGAATGTTCTGCCGTTTCGACACAAGTCTTCTTCTGAGCAATGATGTATACATGTGGTGTCTCTCTATTTATTTCATTTCGACTGATTCATCATCAACAATTTCATGGATCTCTCAGGACTGTCTAATACATTGTAGAAACAGTTTCTAGAAAAGCCTTTCCATGGGCGAATGAAGTTGAATTGCCTTGCCAGGCTTTTCTAGAAACTGTTTCTACAATGTATTAGACAATCCTGAGAGATCCATGAAATTGTTGATGATGAATCAGTTGAAATGAAATAGAAAGACACCACATGTATATATCATTGTTCAGAAGAAGACTTGTGTCGAAACGGCAGAACATAACGAAGATCACCGTCTTCACTTGCATTTGATATGTTATGCAAATATTGTACACTCTTTTGTATGAAATCTTTTTGATTAATATTTCAAATTTATTAGCGCAAACTCCTGCAGTTTTTTTGTTACTACTTCGGTCTGTTCAGGGACTGTGGCCATCAGTTTTAGATAGGCATCAGCAAGGACCACCAAGACATCAAATACGTTGTCCTTTCTTTCTCTTGTGCCCCTAGCAGGTTCTCAGTCGCGTATCCGTCTCTCTGATCATAGGCATGGAAGTTCTGTGGGTGGGGGTGTGCAAGACGTTCTGGCATTAAAATCTGAATATCTGAAATAAGATAAATTGGAAAGCATCTAAAGGAATACAATTGTTAAATGCCATATATTAGAAACAGCGTTTTCATCATGGAGTGGGACACAGTTTCGCATGTGAAAGTACTTTCAAACCTTTCTAATTTTATCAGCATATGACTAAAATTCCCTACTGGTGTGCTCAGTTAGGATCCAAATGCCACTGATGGTATTTATTAGATTTGATTTATTAGGGCTGAGGGCTGCTCACAACTATAGATGTGAAGGCCCGGAAAAAAACTGGAAAAATTCTGGCGAAAAAAAGGTTTTTTCCATTTTTTTTCCTGAAGCCTTTTTCGTTTTTTTCCGAAAAATTGAAAAAATAAAATAAAATAAATTGACTATGGAACGTTTTATTTTAACATGATGAATAAAATATTTTAAGACAAGGTGTTCAAATATTTTCCAAATCATTTCTAAAATATATATATATGGTATCAGATTGATCTAATTTCTGTGCACTGAGGAGAAGCAAGTCCTAGGTTACAAACTGAACTCTCCAATGCAAGAACAAGATGCATTTCTTCCTTTAGGAGGTGCTATTGTCAGAAGAAAATAAAAAGGTTTCAGTTTTGTTTTTGCATGTGGATGGGTATTCTGTTTGTAATAATCGTTTGGATACACTATATTTTTAATATGCTAGTTGTGATAATTTCATGCCAAGTAAAAATGTCCATAGTCATATTTTATGTTCCTAAAGTAACAGAATGACTTTCAATCTAGAAAAGACAAAAAAAAATGCTAATATAGCATTTTTTTCAATTTTTCCGAAAATTTCAATTTTTTCCCGAAAAAAACGGAAAAAAAACTTTTTTTTTTCCCGAGCTTCAAAATTTCCGGAAATTTTACATCTCTAATCACAACAGAACAAATACAATAAATAATACAGTTAAAACCAACGCTAAAAGGCCTACAATAGATCATCAAATAAAGCAATCCACTTTAATTTCCACAGGCTGTCTGGGGGGGAGGGGGTTGTGGAGAGTGGGGTGTGTGCATGAGAGAGTCCCAGATTTTATACTGTCCCATCGCTGTCCTCAACCAAATGCCTGGCAGAACATCTCTGCCTTGTATGCCCCGCGGAAAGGTAGTAAATCCTGCAGGGCATGGATGTTCTCAGGCAGAGGGTTCCACCAAGTGGGGGCAGGGCCGAAAAAAGCCCTGGCCCTAGTTGAGGTCAGCCGGATCTCTGTCAGACCAGGGGCCACCAGAAAGTTCTTATTCCTGGAGCGTAATGCTCTTCCAGGGGCATACTGAGAGAGGCGGTCCAGAAGGTATGTAGGTCCTTGACTGCTAAGGACTTTGAAGGTCAGAACCAAAACCTTGAGCCTAATCTGGTGCTCCACTGGAAGGCTCATGCAGCACAGGCTGGATATATGCCGTCCAAGGGGTCCCCGTAAGGACCTAAATGGCCACGTTCTGGATCAGTTGAAGCTTCTGGGTCAAGTGCAAGGGTAGGCCACGTAGAGTAAATTACAGTAGTCTATCCTGGATGTGACCATTGCATGAATTACTGTGGCTAGGTCGGGGCAAGACAGGTAGGGAACCAGCTGCCTAACCTGGCACAGTTGGAAAAATGTCAGCTTGGCAACCTTCGTGACATGGGCCTCCATAGACAGGGCAGCATCCAAAGTCATGCCCAGACTCTTGACTGTCGGTGCCAGTGATAATGGCACACCGTCAAGAGTCAGGAGTTGGTAACCCAACCACAGCACCCCCCTCCCCCAGCCACAGAACCTCCATCTTACCTGGATTCAGTTTCAGCTGACTCTGTTTTAACCACCCAATTATGGCCTTCAATCCCTCGGCTAAATTCACAGGAATGGCATCCAGCCAGCCGCCCATCAACAGAAATAGCTGGGTGTCATCCACATACTGGTGACACCCCAACCTTAAACTCCACGCTAGCTGGGTGAGGGGGCACATTACACCAGGCAGAGAAGCAGTGTTCCCTCTAAGCTAAGTTAGTGTGAGCTAGCTCACCGTTTTTTAGCCTCCGGCTCACATGTTTTTGTCTTAGCTCAGGAAGGAGGGCTCCAGAGCAAACTAATTTATGCAGTAGCCAAATCACTCACAATTTTAATGCCAGTTGCTCACAAAGTAAAATTTTTGCTCCCAAGACTCCACAGCTTAGAGGTAGCATTGGAGAGAAGTACTCTTTGGGGGACCCTGCATTCCAGCAGGTACCTTGGAGACACTGTCCCTACCAGCGCCACCCTCTGTCCCCGACCATGGAGGAATGAGGTGAACCATTGCAAGGCAAACCCCTGGATTCCAACGTCGGCAAGGCTCTGAGTCAGTAGATCATAGTTGACTGTGTCAAGTAGTATCAGCAGCGCCAACTCACCTCGATCCAGCTGCCTGCGGAGATTGTCCATGAGGGTGACCAGTGCTGTCTCCATCCTGTGGCCGGGGCGGAAGCTAGATTGAAATGGATCCAACATCGATGTGTCATCCAGGAATTTCTGGAGCTGTTCTGCCGCCTCTCTCTCAATTACCTTACCCAGAAACAAATTACCTTACCCAGAAACAAATTACCTTACCCTGAATCTTTCAAACATAGCCTGCCCTGTCTGTACTCTGTTATCTGCTTTTGACAGTTCAGTTTTCTTATCTGCTATGTGTTCCTTACCCAGAGACACTTGTTTCAAATATCTCACATCTATCAGGCTTCTTTTGCCTATTCTGGTCAAGGTATGAGCTTTTTTCAAATATTTTTCAAATTTTTGAAAAAGTGTGCCTTGCACACAAAAGCTCATACCTTGAATAAACCTTTGTTTGTCTTAAAGGTGCCACTGGACTCTTAATTTTGTATCACTGCTTCAGACCAACATGGCTACCCACCTGGATCTGTACTGGTCATGTGTAGTATGTACACATATGGTGTGTCTTCAGATAAGGCCTTAGATGTATTCCTGATGTACATAGTTCAGGTCTTGGCCTAGCAATATTGCCTTTCTCCTTGCCTTGAGTATCTCATTTTAGAGATTTCTGCTTGCCTTAATTGCTTATAATTAGCATCTAGGGTCTATAAAAATAACCTTGCAACGACCACACACAGTTATTATTTAAATTGTCTTTCATGGCTCACCAATGTTGTGTTTGTATGGCACATGATAGTTCACCATACTGAACATCCTTAGCTGTACTGCCTCGTTGCTCAGTGTCTGCTTTCTGTAGTCTTTCCAAATGAATTCTTACTTGTACATCTCCTTTCAGGTTAGATTGCTAACCTTTGTTTAAATTTCCTGACCCTTATTTTCTTTAGAAGTGTATTTTTCCCTGACTTCCTAACTTTTCCTGTAGCTTTGTGAACCAACTAGTTGAAGGGCTAGAAGGCCTGAGTATTTGGAAATATTTATTTATTATTTTGATTAGTTGTGCAGAAGTTGAACTTCCTTACCATGGCCTGAAGATCATGGTTTCAGAACTTTTACCTGAAGCACTTCCCTTTTATTCTTCCCCGTCCCAATAAGAGTTTTGGGTGTATTAGGAATCTTTTTTTAAATGATAACCAGTTCTGTTCTTTATGATATGTCTATAGGCATGCTAAAATCTCGACTTGTATCTCTAAGCTGATACCGGTGATTCGTTTAATCTCTGGCTATCCTAGTGTCATACTGAAGAATTAATGTCACTGATCTCATTCACAACTATAGAAAGTGAGACAATCACCACACGTTTTGTTCACTGGGGATGTCCCTGCACAAGCACGTGCCTTGTACCTGGGATGGTGCAACATTAACTTATCTGGCTACAGCTGCTACATTTCATGTTTCCACAAGAGAGCATTTAAATGCTGCAGTAGTGCTTGTAACACTATGAATTCACTGTGCAGTAAAAACAGTCATCTTTTTGTAATGAAGCCACAGCAGCCTAGTACCTCCCATAAACAGCTTGTGAGATGTCACACTTCTATATAGAGCAGCAACTGTTTTACACAATCCTAATAAGATAACAAGAGGTTCCCAACTTTCTCTCCTTCCATCTCAGGGAAGAGGCCCACACAGTGACTTTCACAGACACAGCAATCGATTTGTGCTCTAAGTAATGAACAGTTGGAGGCCAGGGCCCACAGTATTTTTCATCTCCTAGTTGGGGTTTTAGAATCCCAGGTCTGGTAAAGCTGGAGTCTGTGTTGTCTGTGTTGGAATGATACTGGGATGTGAATACTCTTCTAGACAGTCAAGCAGGAGGATTTAAAAGGATTTTCTGTGATCTGTTGTCAGGAGCTAGAATAGGTCTAAGTGTTCTGTATAAATCGGCTGATCTGATTAGCCTTCCTGTACTTGCTTAGCTCCCCCCTAGCTCCATGTGGTGTCTGGATACTTAACCCACAGGCCAGATTGATAGACTTCCACTAGAAACATGAGTTTTAGGGCTCTTGGACAGAATGAGCTCGTTTATTGAGAGAGTGTTTCATGTAACTTTAAGAAAAGGGTCTTGTAAAAATGCTATGTCTCATTTTAATACCAGGCAATTTTATGGCTTCTTATTTTACCTTCACAAATATCCTCTTTGAGTATGATAAAAGAAGCTCCAATTTTCTATATGAAGATTGTGAAACTTGCAGAAGTTGTGGAAATCCTTTCTTAAGAAGCTTGTAGAAAGGTGGTACACCAAGGTACAGCAATCCCTGTAAATGGGCAGAATCCTCTGGAAATGTTGGTGCTTCTAGAAGATTCAATGATGTGAAGGCAAGTATAGTACCAGGCAGCTGGAAAGTGCCTTCCGGCGTTCCCCAGGAAGGCTGGGCGCATGGAGCTGGCAAGTCTGAATGTACAACTGGAGTTTCCATCTTGAGGTGGAGTCGTCTGGATTATTCCCCTTCAAGCTTTCACACTCTTAACACCAGTTAGACTAGTTTATCAGTTTGCCCTGTATTTTGTTTCTGTCCCTTCTGCCTTCATTTTTCAGTTGCCTTTGTTTATGATTGGGTAAAGGTAAGGGTTCTCTTGCTCCAAAGCCCAGTCGAGTCTGACTCTAGGGTTGCGGTGCTCATCTCCGTTTCAAAGCCGAAGAGCCAGCGCTGTCCGAAGACGTTTCCGTGGTCATGTGACGGGCATGACTAAACACCAAGGCACACGGAACGCTGTTCCCTTCCCACCAAAGTGGTCCCTATTTATCTACTTGCAATTAAAGGACTCTTCCCCTTCCCCCACCCACTGCTTTGCTCCTAAGTGGAAGCCACAGTTTTCTTTCCCACCTCTTGACCATTCTAAGGCTATGGATAGCGATTAAGAACCACGGCAGTTTTCTCTCACCATTCAAGCCTATATATACATATTAAAAATTCACTCATTTGCATGAAATAAAGCCACAGGCATATTTGATACTGACCACAGTGGGGAAAATTTGACTTGGTGGTTTGTCAGGACAAGTTTTGCTCCATTTATTTTTTTACACAGAGTGTGCCGTTTCATTTAAAGTGTTGCTTTAAAAATTAAAAGGCCTCTCTCCCTCTGAGCATGCAAATGATAAACTGGCATCAGCTTTCCTGTGCTCCTCAGTGCCCCCACTGCCAAGGGTTTGATGAAGGTATGGGTCAGGGATTGTGCCATCCTAACTTGAGACTGGCAAATTGAGGGGAAACAGGCAGAGGGGTTTCACTTGACATAAGTAGCATGGACTACTGAACTTAAACATTTACCCCAAGAAATGAGTGAAGGAGAATACGTTTTGTAGTCTGAAGCTGCAGGGGGTGAGGATCTGTAAGGCTGAAGCTGAGGTTGGGATGCTAACTGGGATCTTGGGGTCAAGTTAGTCCCTCACCTCAGTTAAAGAATGAACATTGTGCTCCGTCACGGCACCTATACTGGTGCTCCCTACTGTGTCGACATCCATGAGAGTTTCCGCTCCCAGTGCAGTCTGAATGGATTGGCAAGGGGTAATTTTTTTGAGTGTGTCCATGTCAACTTTAATGTGTGTGTGTCCCCCCCAGGAAATCTTTGAAAGAACACAGGGCTCAAGAGTGAGTGGTTGCTCAGTAGTATCCAATCAGGGACGGAGATGGGAGTCAATATGTAGCGTGCATTAAAGTGCAGCATAAGTTCTTATGCGTTATTTTTGCACTGAAAGCAGTGCTCCAGTGTTGAAATTCATAGTCTTTGCCCAAGCGTGTGCTTGTTGCCCCTGATTCTGGAATAATACAGATGTTTCAAGGTAGCTTTAGGTAGCTGGCCTTTGGCCATAAATCTGTCTACAGCTATATATAAATAAATTCAGTTGAAATTGTTGCCTAAAGTTGTTTGTATTCTAGAATGCGAGAACAAATAATCATTGCATTTTCAAGAGAAGGGCTTGTAGAACTAGCTGATTTTGAACTATGGAAGTAAATACTGAGAACAGGGAAGCAGGAGTTCTGGGGGAGCAGAGCTCTTAATAGCCCAAGTAGCACTTTAAAAATCTGGATTGGTGGCTTTGCTGTTTTTATGATGTCTTTTTCCAGTTTCTTATATTTCTTTCCCATAGAACCTCCGCTGGAGAAATTCCAAATACTTTGTGTGGACAGATGGACTACAGGCCCTCTTTGTGTTCCAAAGACTGGGTAAGAATTAGGTGGAATAATTTTTTGTGTGTGTGCCAAGTCTCTTTGTCATCAGTGAGGATGACTTAGTCTTCACTCGACCCCACCCCGCCCCTGGCTAGATAGGGGATGTCTGCTGGGAGCAGGGAAATGGTCTGTTTGCAGACTGCATTGGCATCATCCCAAAGGCTGCGATTATGTTCCTGTTCCTCTGGGTAATCTAATTAAGCAAGGGCAAAGTTCCCCTGAATATAGTGAAATCAGTATGGCACATAGGGATGGGAACCTTGTTGACTGTTACTTACCTCATTGGTTGCAGTGGCTGTGCTCTACTACTACTTCTATAAGAGGACTGCTGTCCACTTGGGAGACCCACGTTTCTACCAGGACTCTCTTTGGCTACGAAAAGAGTTTGCTCAAGTCCACAGCTGACTGATGCTTCTTGGTTATCTCAAGCGGAGGTTAGCCTGCTATGATGTCACAGAATCCTCATCAGTATCTTGCAGCAAGCCTTTTCTCCTCACAATCCCCTATAACCCTGTTCTAAATTTGGTACAGTCAGTTGATTTCATCCCGTTCCTAAACCTTTTGTACAACAGAGTATTCAGCTCTTCTGTGGACTCCGTGCTTGCTGCGACAGACTTCTCGGTTTCAAAGCACTCCACATTCCTCCTTTCGGCTTTGCAAACTGTAGTCTCTGCAGCCTTACTGAGGAATGATCTGAAGTGCCAAATGGGTTTGGCTGAGAACTCTCAACACCAAGAAGCAATGCTGCAATATCCTTCTTGGAAATGTTCCCTCATTCCCCCATTCCCTTCCCTCTGACAAGAAGATACCCTGCCTTCATTAGAACCACTGGCTGTTGCCATCCTAAGCGTAATTACTTATAAAAGGACTGTGCTCTAGCTTTGCAATGTTCCACCTGGGCCCACTGACTTGGTAGATTCCCCTTTTGTATATGTGTGTCTGTGTGTTTTTATAAATTATGAGAAAATAAATAAGCTCTTTTTCAGAAGAATGTGAAGTTTTATTTTCTTGCTGACCAGGAATATTCTTGCCAACTAGCATTCCACAATTAACCCCAAATCAGGGAAATAGCTTTTTTCATTGTTATGGGCTTGAGGATGATGGTGTAAGTTAGTTGTCAGTGTCACAACAGCACAGCAATGACGCGACAGCATAAATCAGTGGTTCCCAGACTTTTTTCAGGCCACCACCTCCTTAGTTCCATAAACTCATCCGCAGTATCTCCTATCCTACCCTAAGAAATCATCATTCAGAATCATTGTTTGCACAACCCACTAGAATTCAGAACAGGAACAATTATTTGCAATTTTATTCAAAACTTTATTCAGCAAAATTGATAAACTTGATCCAGTGACACCAGTTTTACAGAGTCTGATAGTTATTTAGCAAGAATCATAGATACCACATCTTCACTGTTCGGTAAATTCTTAATGCGATGGATGGGCTTGTAATACCAGTTTTTCCCAATGTCTGGTTTAAAGTCACTCAACAGGAGTCTCAAATCACCATGTTCAGAAATCTGGGGTCGATTTTTTTTGCTGGGAGAGAAGTTGGATGACCACATTAAAACCATGTTCCACCAAATATGATGTTGGAAAGGCAATAAGAGGCATCTTAACCATGGTGGTGGAAAGTGATCAGAAATTTATTTCTATAACCAAAACTCTTGGTACAATTTCTTAAACTTTGGCTTCAGCTCATTGTCATTTTGTAGCTCAACTAGTTTTTCCTCCACTACCTCAGCTTCCTCAGTATCTGAAAATGGATTTATCACCCAATCTGGAATTTCCATCGAAAGAAGCTCCTCAAATCGCTCAAACCATATCTTCATGCAGCAGATCCAAATGGTCACAAAACCCCCCTGCAGATTATCATCTTGTATCCCACCTTTCTCTTCTAGCTCAGACAGGCTGGGAAACTGGTATTTCTCATGATGGCCTATAGTGCATTTCAATACAGTTAACCTTTAAAATAAATATAGAGATGACAGATTTGTTCCGATAAACAAGCAATATCATGATCTCTTTGAGTTCATCACTAAGGAAAGCATTTGTGTCTTCAAAAAACCTCCACGACAGTGTTGAAAAGGTCTTAAAAGCAGTTCACACAGTTGCCTTTTGGTAGCCAACCAACTTCAGTATGAAGCAACAGACATTCAAAATATTCAGCATTCTCAACACAGAGCTCCCAGAGTAGCTGATCCTTGAGTGCATGGGCTTTTAATTCTATTCACTGCAGTAATGACACTGCGTAATGACCTGTGCAGGCAATCACTGAATTTTGTTGCAACCAGATGATGGCAATGAATGACATAGTGAATGGTAAAGACATTTGGCAGTGCATTTTTGAAATAAGCAACACACCCATGGCAGTGACCAGTCATTGATGGTGCTCCATCAGTTGTACAAGCAAGTATGTTAGTAAGTGGAATTTCCTTGTCTTTGATGAACAGCATTAATTATTGACTCTCCTTTTAGTATCTGTTCTTAGCTGCCTTGCAAACAACTATTGAGCCAAACTTTCATCTTTTATAAAGTGCACACATGTGAGAAGCAAAGATTCATTGCCTGGCAAAGCTGACATGTTCAGCTGTACTGAAAATTCTGTTGTCCTTCGTATGCAGCACAATGTCTCTTCCACACTTTCAGCCATTTCATGGCTCTTGGTGGGGCTGCTATTCTTCAGGCTTGTTGAATTCCTGCAGATCTCCGGAGGCTGCAGCCCCCTTGAGGCTCCTTCTCCGGCCACTGTTCTCTACCCTGGGAACCAGATGGCTTCGGCCTCCTTTTTTCCTCCTCAGAGCCGTTTCCCCCTCAGAACTCTCCTACGGCTCCCTCTCTGGGACAAAATACCCCCCCCCACTCCAGTGGACAGCCAACCCCAGAGTTACATTTATATAACCTAGAAATATTGATATTGGGTGGGCTGCAACAAAAATAACACTTATGTAGTCTTGTATGGCTGCGAGAGTTGGACTATAAGGAAGGCCAAGCGCAGAAGAATAGATTCTTTTGAACTATGGTGCTGGAGAAGACTCTTGAGAGTCCCTTGGACTGCAGGAAGGTCAAATCAGTCAATCCTAAAAGAAATCAACCCTGACCGTTCCCTGGAAGGCCAGATAATGAAACTGAAGGTCAAAGAAGACGGGGACGGCAAAGGATGAGATGGTTAGACAGCGTCATAGATGCAATAAACATGAAATTGAGCAAACTTCAGAGGACAGCGGAAGACAGGAAGGCCTGGCGTGATCTGGTCCATGGGGTCACAAAGAGTCGGACTTGACTGTGTGACTGAACAACAACAAAAGCTAAAAAAGCACACTTCATAATCAACAGGTTAAGTAACTCTTAATAAAAGTAAAGGTAAAGGTTCCCTTGCTCAAAAGCCAGTCGAGTCCGACTCTAGGGTTGCGGTGCTCATCTCCGTTTCAAAGCCGAGGAGCCAGCGCTGTCCGAAGACGTTTCCGTGGTCATGTGGCCGGCATGACTAAACACCAAGGCGCACGGAATGCTGTTACCTTCCCAACGAAGTGGTCCCTATTTATCTACTTGCAATTTCTTGCTTTCGAACTGCTAGGTTGGCAGGAGCTGGAACTAGAGACAGGAGCTCACCCTGTCTTGCGGCACCCGGGTCTCGAACCGCTGAACTACTGACCTTCCACAGCCTGCAGTTCAGCGTCTTAACCACTTGAGCCACTCTTAATACAGGAAAATAAATACCACACTCAAGAGCTTGCCAGCAAAAACAGTACAATGACAGAGACAGAAACAGGCCTGAAAATGCGAATCGTTTCCACCAGATTCCAGCACTTATGCAGAGACAGAAACTTTACCCTAAGTGGTGCCATTTGCCAGCATCTAGCCGGGTCCATTGCGGATGGGTGAAAAGCATGGAGCCTGCCTTTGGGCTCCCTATCGACCACTTTGGGGACCACTGGCATACATATTTAAAAGGCTATTCCTATGCAAGAGGCATGGACTCCTGGAATCGAAAATACTGGGCACCCCCTTTGGGCAGAGAAAGTCTTTAGAAACGGAGTCGTCAAAAGTACCTGTCCATCAACAATGGAAACTCTTTTTTTTTTTTTTAATACTTATTAGTCAATAGTACAGTAAACAACAATGGGATTTGGTATAAATATGACCAACACAAAATTACATATAATGAAATACTGCAACATACTGAGAAGGAACAGCAAATTTAGAGGTGTCATTATTGAAGACATATTCTAAAAAAGGAGACCATTTCGTGCATAAAGTAGATTTTGAACATGAACTATTAGTAGAGGAAGCCACTGCATCAGAGAGTTTATCCATGATGCAAAAGAAGTTTGTCGGTGGAAACTCTTAAAACATTTTGGAGAGTTGTGAGCCTTTGCAGGCTAAAGCTTGTTAGAAGAAGCAGCTGCTCTGGGTTGGGAGACACCTGGAGGGTTTTGAGGGCGGGGTTCGGGGGCTTCCACGGGGCGCCATGTGCCAGGGAGCCCCCCCCCTCCCAAAGGAGCCGTTCATCTGCAGGGGAGCCGAGCCGCGGAGCCCGGGGGTCCGTCGTCACCGCGGGAGCTCTCCCGCCGCCGCCTGGAGGTTGGCAACAGCGGAAGAGGCGTGCTCCGCGTGATGGGGGGAGGCGGAGGGGCCGCCAGAGCGCTCTGAGGAGAAGAAGAAGAAGAAGAACGTTAAGAGGGAAGCCAGCGCTGGGTCGCCGGCCCCCGTGGCCCCTCCGCCGCCCAGCAGCACTCCCGAAGTCGCACGGCGAGGGCCGGAAATGCCGGGTGGCGGACTTCGACGGACCCACCGGAGGTGTGTCCGTCGAAGTCCGCTGGCTTCCCTCTTAACGTTCTTCTTCTTCTCCTCAGAGCGCTCTGGCGGCCCCTCCGCCTCCCCCCATCACGCGGAACACGCTTCTTCCGGTGTTGCCAACCTCCAGGCGGCGGCGGGAGAGCTGGGCCTGCGTCGGAGCCGGCAAACACGCGCGCACGCGCACGCGCAGAGAGACAGGGAGGACACGCGCGAGCGTCCCTGCGGGCCGGGCCGCTCTGGGATCCAGGCCTCCCGGCAGCGCTGGGCAGGTCCGGCTACGCACGCCGGGGCCGGACGGGGAGAGACCACCCGCCAAGGCCCCGCTCCCTTTCTATGGTCGCTAGGCCGAGGCCTCCTTTCCCCAGCCGCGAGCGCCACCGGAAAAGGCCGTCCTGCGTAGCGGTTCC